GTTCCCGGACCAGACAACTCTTCCGGGGGGGGGGGGAGATCAGGTAACTAGTTCTGAATAATAAAGGGCTCAGAGGTGGTGATATACTCATACTGGTTGCGGATGGAATGATCTGAAAATGCATAAAAGAATATGTGAGAGGACTTGCGTGCCTTTGAGGTATTGTCGCCCAGGCTTCTGTGCTTTGCCTTCTTTCACAGCTGAGGTGGGTGGCTGGGAGATGGGCAAGACAGAGGCTTATTGACTGAAGGCTGTAGAGGTGGCTCACTGTTACATTTTTACCTCACCTAACGAGCTCCTGGTGAGCTCAGGACAATACAAAGCGGTGATCCCCAACATGGCACCTGTGGATGTTGTGGTGCCTGCTTGATTCTTTGGTGCTTTCTTGCTTCCACATGGGTACATGTTTCTGTGGTTTTGCTGTTGTGTGTGCTGCTGCAGATAAAGTGCAGGAGCAGCGGAGTGTCCACATGGCAGGGGTCTCTGCAGTTTTTCTGACCCACTCCCCCAGAAGTGGCTACCCACCCTCTCCTGAGCCATGGGGCAGTTTTTAAAAAAACCAGCACTAGAATACCATTTTCGATAGGCCATTGTAATGATAGGCACAGCAGGCTCTCTGAATTCCTAGCTTTGTTTTTGTTAGATATGTTTTTAAATATTTCTTCCCCTTATATCTTCCCAAGGGAAGGGTATAGAGACTTACTCGAAAAAGGAAAGAAAGCTGAGTTTCCTTTTTGTGTGTTTTTATGTGTTTATGTGTGTTGTATATGTTTTATTTAGTTGTTTTAAATATTTTATATATATATATATTTGTATTTTAAATGTTTTTTTAATGTTTGAAATGTTTTAAGATTCATTGCCTTGGGGACTCTGAACTGGGTGGAAAGACAGCATAGAAATATTTCAGATACTTACATGTGTGTGTCTGTTTGTAAAGTGCTGTCAAGTCAGAGCTGACATGATGACCCCGTGGCGTTTTCTAGGCAAGAGATGTTCAGATGTGATTTGCCATTGCCTGCCTCTGCGTAGCAACCCTGGACTTCCTTGGTGGTCTCCCATCCAAATACTAACTAGGGCTGAGCTTGTTTAGCTTCCAAGATCTGATGAGACTAGGCATCCATCCATCCATCCATCCATCCATCCATCCATCCATCCATCCATCCATCCATGCTTACATCAGCCCAAGATTGGTGATAGAGGGATCTGCAGTGTCTGCTTAAAATGTAGGTCTGAATGCTGGCACCAATATTAAGTCCTTCTGCGTTGCTTGATTAAATCAGGCCACTCACCTCATTGATTTGTGTGCATCACAGAAAACCTGAATAAACGATCCAGGAACTGCGTGCTGAATGCCTACTATTTCGTCACTGCTTTCTATTCCAGGGCTTCCTCTTTCTTTTAACTCACTTCCCACTTACTTATGGAAACTGTAGCAAGGATAAAAGGTGAAGCAGACAACATCAGAACCCAACGTTAAATGAGACCGGAGGGGGGGGCACGGGGGAATTGCAACTGGAGTCGCATGTGACATTTTCTCCCTGAACTCTGCAAAATATGTATTTCCAGTGCTGGCAGGCAAGCCGCACATGGGGCCATTTTGATTTTGGAGCAAGGACTGGAACCCGCAAGTGGGGGGGGGGGAATGGATTGCTGGGTGTCATTATTAAAAAGGTTTGGGAACCTTAGGATAAGCTGAAGACCAAAGTGCCTTTTAACTGTGATTAAAAAAATGGCTTGAATACCCAGTCATTGCTTTGCAAGCAGATGCCTCAGAATGCTTTTGAGGCGTGTCCTTCTGCCATTCCTAGAATGGTTATGTCAGTCTCAACTTGTAAGATTCCACTTTGCTGATTTTGCTTTCTCTGTCCATGACTCTGGAATCTCTTCTTTGAAGGTGTTAGATCGGCACCAGTGGAAAAAGACGATCGTGTTGAAGAAATGGTGAGTAGAAAAGGTATTGTTAACATGGGAATTGGGCCAAGGTAAATTAAATTGCCTGCCTCCAATTATGACTATCTTCCAAAACTTGTTGAATACACCAAAAGTATATGCGGAGCTCCTTCACACCCAGGGATTCCCATTTATTTCAAGGGAGGACAGTTCTTCAGATGCAAATGAATGAACTTCAGAGTGTCCTCCAATTGAATGGAAAGCTCTCTTGGGCAGGAGGGCTCCAAATGCTTGGTGGAAACCTGTGCTCTGAAGCAATTTTTTTAAATTCAACTGCTATGCTTTATTATAGTGTTGTTGTTCAGTCGCACAGTTGAGTCCAATTCTTCGCGACCCCATGGACCACATCATACCAGGCCCCCCTGTTCTCCACTGCCCTCCGGAGCTTGTCCAACTCCATGCTCATTGTGTCGATAACACTGTCCAACCATCTCATCCTTCACCGTCCCCTTCTCCTTTTACCTTCAGTCTTTCCCAGCATCAGGGTCTTCTCCAGTGAGTGCGACCTTCCCATTTGGTGGCCAAAGGATTTGAGCTTCAGTTTCAGTATCCAGCCTTCCAGGGAACAGTCAGGGTTGATTTCCTTTAGGATTGACTGATTTGATCTCCTTGCAGTCCAAGGGACTCTCAAGAGTCTCCTCCAGCACCATAGTTCGAAAACATCTATTCTTTGGCGCTCGGCCTTCCTTATGGTTCAGCTCTCGCAGCCATACATTACTACTGGGAATACCATTGCTTTGACTTCCAAAGGAAATATAGAAAACTTATTGAGGGCCAAAAGTTAAAAACATAAGTAAGTGTACAAAAGAGTGTTTATAACAAAGCCATATAAAAACCTAGTAGGGGCCCAAATAAAGCCTCATAAAATGTTCAAAGTTACAAATACACACAAAAAAGGACAGTGTATGACCTGACGCATTTCAGGTCACATATTACATGTTACATATTGATGGCACATTGTCCCTGACAAGGCAATTGTATTTGCACTCTTAGGACCTAAACTGGAAGGTACATGCT